CTGAACGCATTGCGTTTTTAAGCCTGCTGACGTATGAGGAGTGATCTACTGCTGGTGGGAAGCTCGAGGGAGAAACAAACTCACTTGGCAGTCGTGGTGTCGTGCCATATTCTAGCTCAGCGGTAGCACAACCAGCATCGGTTTTTAAAGCGTTTCGTATCCCCAGGAGAACTAACGGAAATGACTCAGTCCAATAGGTGTTATTTGCAGCTGATAAACCAGCTTTCAACTGTCTGTGTAGACGTTCTACCATACCATTAGCCTGAGGAAGGTAGGCTCTTGTTCGAAAACCAAGGATTTTAGTTAGAGCGAAGAATAAACCGCTTTCGAATTGCCACCCACGATCAGTTGTTATGGAAGATGGGCATCCAAAGTTTGCGATCCATCTTTCTACAAAGACGCGTGTGACGGTTTCAGCAGATGTATCCTTGAGGGATACTGCTTCAGGCCATCGTGTGAGGCGATCGATGCCGGTTAACATATAGGTATCTCCATGAGATTCTGGAGGGGGGCCAACTAAATCTGTATGGGCGTGTTCGAAACGGGCATTGGGCATAAGAAAGGTGCCAAGTGGGCTTTAGGTGTGTCTTATTACCTTACACCTTTGGCAAGCTAAGCACGTCTGTGCCGATTCCCTTACTTCCTTATTAATACCGGGCCAACAAAACCGACTAGCTAAGAGCTTGACGGTAGTTCGAAAACCTGGGTGTGATAAGCCATGCAACGTATTGAAGACGTTACGGCGATAACTTTTAGGCACGATAGGGCGAGGAGTACTAGTGGAAATGTCACAGAGAATAGTATCTTTTCGTATTGTTTATTTTATTTTTCATAAGTGTGGACATAATTTTAGGCTGTATTATGACTGTTAACTTTGTATTTCACCTCACTATACCATTTCAACAGAACATTAGACCCAATTATCCATAACACGCTAAAGTTTCCAAACTGAATCGACAATACCGTTTGAAACAAACTCACTGTTATTATTATTTATTATTATTATATCTAATAATTATGTCGTAAATGTGGGCAAATTCCTCCGATTAATTTTTGTTTTAATTTTTAATTTTATATGCATTTTGAGTAAATCAGATGCAATATTGTGACAAATACTGAGAATTCCATTCTGTATTATAAGTACTGTTTTCGGAATAAAGTAAATCATTATTATTATTATTGTAGAGTTGTTTTCGACAACTCATGCTGAAGCTCGGTATCTTCTTTGTGAAGACGAGCCAGTTTTACAGGGTCTATTCCGTCGATTTGGGTGAAGGAACAAATACGTGACAAGGCATCTGCCACAGTGTTGTTCACTCCGGATACATGTCGAATATCCGATGAAAACTGAGAAACGTAATCCAGTTGTCGTGATTCCCTTGGTGAATACTTACCTGAAGCTGAGTTCAGAGAGTACGTCAGAGGTTTGTAGTCAGTGAAAATAATGAATTCACGACCCTCAACTGAATGTACAAAGTGGCGTATAGCACAGTACATAACTAGAATTTCTCTTCCAAATGTGCTGTACTTTGTTTCAGCTAATTGAAGGCGCCTCGAGAAAAAGGCGAGTAGTTGCCACTCTTTGTTAACTAGTTGTTGCAGAACTGCGCCGATTGCAGTGTCTGATGCATCAACTGAGATACTTAACGGTGCCGTTGGATTCTGATACATAAGAAGGGTGGCATCCGCAATAGCTTTCTTTACCTGAGTAAAAGCATGTCGAGCAGACGTGTCGAGTTCGATAGGCTTGTTGTTCCCTCGAAGGAGATCTGTTAATGGCTGAATTAGAGGAGCACAGTTAGGAATAAACCGTCGGTAATAACTTACCGTCAAAAGTCGGAAGGCATTTCACTGTTTGTGGCTGTGGAAAGTTCAGTATCGCCTCGACTTTACTAGCCAGTGGGCGAATGCCCTGACAGTCAATAGTGTGGCCCAGAAAGTCAGGTGAGTCAACGCCTATCTGACACTTTTGAATATTGATGGTAACACCATGTTGGCGTAACCTTTCAAATGTCAAGTCCAAGTGTCTAAGGTGAGTTTCCTTATCTGGACTGGCAGTGAGGCAGTCGTCTAAGTATCCGTATACGAAGTCGAGACCGCGAAATACTTCATCGACGAAGCGTTGGAATGTTTGGGCCGCATTCCGGAGGCCGAATGGCATACGTAGGAATTCAAAAAGTCCGAAAGGCGCGATGATAGCCGTTTTCGGAATATCTTCCGTTGCCATCGGGATTTGGTTATACGCTTTAACGAAGTCGATTTTAGAGAATATAGATGCGCCAGATAACGTTGCCATCAAGTCGTGTATGTGAGGCAAAGGGTAGCAATCAGGGGTTGTTTTGGCGTTCACTCGCCGGTTATCACTAGTGGGTCGCCAATCGTTGCTATCTTTTTTGGTACCATATGCAACAGTGAGGGTCAGCATCCAATGTCGAGTGATGATTGCTGTGGTCAATAATTTTGGGGAATTATTTACCGCTACACCACTCTATACCTGTTCTGAAACATGAAATATGTTTTTGGCAGAATGGACGATATTCTGTTATTGATCCGCAGAACCAAGATACTGAGGAAAGAGTCACTGGCTGGATAAGCGTTTAGTGGAACTGTCTCAACATATAAATTACTAGTGAATTGGTTACACTGCCTGATAATGCAAGTGAACTGTTAGTTTTACGAAGTGGTTTGAAACGTTTGCCTTCTGAAGAAGTAACCAAAGGTGTGAAGTAGCCTACGTTCAAAAGAAACATAAAGACCACAAAATTTTCACCCATAAATAGATAATGATACGCAAAACAGGACGTTAGTGCAGCTCGGGATCTAGTGTTAAAAATTATGACAACTCCATAATTTCATTTGGCTGTGTACTTTTCGTATTTGCAAGGAACCGGAGAAAAAATCACAGGGTTAACCGTTTATACTGAGTGTAAGTTTTTGTCAGATAGTAGCAGTTTGTTTCAGTTACTTCATTCAGGCGCCATTAGGACAGTTTGCGCTAGTTTTGAAATGGCCTGCCCGCTGATTATTAACAAGAATTCTGTTAAGTCTTTGGCTGCTTGGTGGCTTTCGAACGAATCGTCTTTAAATTATGTGGGACTTACCCCAAAGAGTGGGCGTGGGAAGGTGTACATTGATATGCACAGTCCTGGTAAGCGTCGAGCTTACTAAATTCACATAATAGGCATAATTGTTGGAATGCCATTTGTAGATGCTATTTTGAAAGAGAGTAGTTGTGAAATTGAGTGGCATGTGTGCGAAGGTCAAGTAGTGAAAACATGCCCAACAAGGGTGGCTACGGTTACTGGAGCGAACGAAGATATATTCTTTTGCGAAAACCTAGTGCTCTCAGTTCTGTCGAGAGCCAGTGGCATAGCATCTCTGGCAAGCAGGTAATCTGATTTCCAATGTTATTGAGGTATTTAGAATCCAGACAGTTTTACATGAAATTTCATGGCCTGGGACCATGTATATGCCTGACAGGAGGACTCCAGGCTTTGGTCTTGTTGAGGAGTATGCGATGATGACGTCAGGAGTCTCGGAAAGAAGACCATCTGTCAGTGTTCGGTGTCAAGACACAAGTGCTGAAAACCTTAAAACAGTTAGTTGTTGTAGTATTGCTAACCTGTCCTAGGCTATAGACAAAGTTCGTTCCAGAGTTGGTTCCATTCCAGTTCATGTAGCTTGTTCCAAACTGAATGAAGCTCTTCTGGCCGCTGGAGCTGGGGCAGATATTTTGCTTACTGGTTTAGATGATAAGGTTTTATTTTATTTTTAACTAATTGGTTGTTAGGACGTTACAGAGATCGCGACGCAAGTGAAGGGGAAATATCCTAAGGTTCAGGTAATAGTGAGTGGTGTTTTCGACGAATCGGATATCAGATTGTGTGCATCGCGTCACGTGGATCTTTTGACTTCCTTAAAACTGTGCAATGGTTATGCCTGCATTGACTTCCAGATGACATACCTGGAGGGTATACCAACTAAGGAAATACAGCCAGAAGACTGTGCAGTTCTGCCAGATGAAATTGAATCGCCTAGTAAGTCGGCGTAGTATTGATAACAGTAGTCCAGTTAGTGAAGATATCTGAAGACGGACTTTAGGTAAATTTTGCACCAATGCAGTGTACGTCTCTCAGTCACTAAACTTTTATACAGAGGTAGTTATTTATACAGTTTTATTAACTGTAGGAGATAACTTTTACTGTGGTTCGAAATCTATGATAAAATCAGTGATAATTGAGTTAATCTTTTAAAACGTCTAGTATTCAGTAATAGTGAGCCAAATAAAATAACAGACCCGCGCGCACATGCCAGATAAAATTACATGTATTTTAAGTGAAAACAAAATAGTGTTAGAAGTATGATTATTAAATATCCGTCATTAAAGTTTAGTGTTTTGTGCTTATTTACATATCGAAGGTACATTTTGTCCCATGTAGCAGAGATCTTTCTTAACACCAGTTGGAATTTCATTTAACCCGTTTTTATTTGTAGTATGATAGTATTTTGATAAACTAAAGGCTGCGACTAGAGGAATTTTTTCCCCCTGCAAATTAAGCACTGGTTTTGATTTTTGTTTACTATTCAATTTCATAATTCAGACTAGAATTCTGTAGGTTGGAGAGTTTTGACTTGTATGAATGTTTAGTAATAAATAAGGCTAATTGTGAAGTACTTGTGTTTGAATTCTGTTTGCGATAACTACTTTATTAAATGATATATTAATGACTGATAATCTAGACCTTACGCTGTTGCATCACTACTCAGTAAAGCAGTGTTTTCGTTATTATCAGTTCGCTTGGAACTTGTTTAGTGTATTTTTACTACTCGTTGCTAAGTCTTGACTTTTTTATTTCTCGTGAACTTAGTTATCCCACACTTGTAGTCGACTGATATGTATTCAAACATCTCATTGCAGTAGTGTAAGCTTCTCATGGTTTTCATGCGACGGCCCTAAAAGGTTTATTGTGTATACTGTAGAACGAATTTATCAGTTTAGTTACTTAAGTACCTTCATAAGATGATTGATTGAGCTGGCTGGGTAGTTTCATTTGTTGTTATTCCGTTGGGATTTCCCATGTTGGTAAATTAAATTATTTCATAGTACCAAAACTTTTCTGTTTCGAAAATGCGTTGGCTTGGTTACATTCAATAACTGAACACTAAATGCTAGCAATTGAAAACAAGTCACTTCTTACTCTATCTCTAATTTTTACGTAAATATTAATTTAAGTAACTCAGGTTCCCTATTTGTATTTTCAACAAGTAATTATTCTTATTCAAAATATTTAAAGTGTGTACACTTCATTGGTAGTGGCTTGAGCTGGCAAAGTGTTTTGAGTTTCTTGTTGCATGTCATAATGGAACTAGCAATAAATCCGGTGTAGGTGATATCAATTACTAACTTTCCATATAACAGACTAGCAAATTCTCTATTTTCACTTTGTCCTAAATTGTTTTCATATGATGGCTGTTTTTGAAAAGTAGACAGTGGTATGCGTACATACATAGTGTAATTGAGTTCGAGTCATGTCACATCTTTTTGTTGGAAGTTTATTATGAACCTACTTTTTCTGGCTCATTACAAACCACCTTACCTTAAAAACTCTTCAAGCAGTTGAATGTTTCCTTGTCGCTTATAGCTCCTCCAAAACCAAAATCACCAGGCCCCCAACCCACTGAGGAAGTGGATAGGTAAGAAGGGTTTCATTATTAGATTTTAATTTATTCCTATTATTTTTCCTTTAATTATTGAGTTGTTAGTATTGAGTCATAAGCAATAGGCGTAGGTTTTCCATATATATTCATTGGTTGAGCTGAGGTGAAGTTAATATGCTACCCTTACTGTGTCAGGAAAATTACTTGTAGATCTTCATTAGGTAGATAGGAACGAATGTGTATAGAGTAAATTGAATGTCAAACACATGTTAGGTATTTTTCATGCTTAGCAAAACTATTTTTATATCTTAGTGTAAATGTTTGTCGATTCCTAGCCCCATATTTATCTAGCAATTAGTCATAAAATGATTTTTAAACAGTTGGCTGCCCACAACGGTGGCTGTCGTAGTACATTCAGTTAATATATTAGCTCACTTAATATTATTTTGAAGATTTTATTGTTTAACTAAATAACCAATGGACTGAGAAGTCAGTGATATTTTGGGTTTTTGGAAATTTAACTTTCTTAATAACATGCACCATTCCTCAGCTCAATATCTGCGCCACTAAAGAAGTCTCGCTTAGTCGTTGACGAGGGGAATATCCCTAAGTCAACTAAGCTCAATGGTACTCCAACCCGCAATACCAATCCAACGGCATCAGATGCGAATTGGTCCAATGCAGCTAGTGCACAAAATCAGAAGCGTTCTCAGCGAGTCCTTCGACATCCTCAGTACACACCAGTAAGATTGAAATGATTTAGCAATTGTTGTAAGCATGTCACTTAAAGTATTTAGGAAATTAGTTCAAAATACTTTGAAACGTTTTTGTAATACTTAGCTCATCCATACAGATCTTAAGTATTTTATTTAAAGTTTGTTTCTTGCGATAATGAATAGCTTAGCGTTTTTGGTTCCAATGTTTGTTTCGTAGTTTTCAGCATAGACTACTAAACAGTTTACTTACAAAGATGTATTTCTAAGGCTTATTAGTCGTTTAGTTGAATTTTATATTCTCAGTCACATTACGTATAATGTAGACATAAAGTTTTGTTTTACTTCTTCTGTTAGGATGGCTTAATAAAAATTTAGATGTCTTTTGAGCGTGTCGCACTCTGAAGGTGTAGTGTATTTGTGTACAACGGAATTCTGCAGTAATAGTCACCTTCCCATCTTTTTTAGAATTTCTAAATTTTCCTATTTATGTTAACATTTAAACATACGAAACTGATTTGTGAAATTAGCTTTTCACTGTTCGAATTGTATGTGTCCAGTCTGACCGTATATAAGCTTTTTAAGTGTATTTTGGTTTTCATTTGGGTCATTACTGGTACATGTTAGAATAAAAGTAGCATATTTGTTATACGATTTCAGGTGTTTTAAATCCACTAAGTTTTTTTGAGAGTGAATATTTCTGTTTCCATTGACTAATTCACAACTTACACTGCATGTATTAATATAAATTCAACCTGTTAGACACTAATGAATCAGCTAGTCATGGTGTTTCACTACAATTTATATCAGCAGTTAGAGTTCTCGACTAATCTACTCATCACTTAAATATTCATAGGTGACTTCTAAAATCATGTTACTGCATGTGCGCTTCAGTGTTAAATAAGTTGGTATCTTCTGAGATTATTATTTATAACCAAATGTAGTGTTTTGTAAATTTTGAATCACCTTTCCATAGATCATAGAATAAACTGGTTTTAAAATAGCTTGTTTGTATGCTATTTGACATTACTATTGATGTAGGTATAGAAATTAAGGATCGATAGAGTATATTTCAAATCAGAATAGCTTATAAAATGCAAAATTGTTTTTACTGAGTAATTTTTTGACGGTGTATTTCAGTAAGTATTTATTCATTACTTTACCTCAGATAAAACAGTCTAGTTGGGAACAACTAATCTAAGAAAATCAGCCAATTTTAAGAAATATAATGATTAGCCTAGGGATGACTTCAATCGCTTTCATCCTATACGTAAATAATGCTGAGTAGTGGTGTAACGGGTCCTTATAAAAATATAATCTGAACCTAATTCGATTTTCAGCCTCAAAGAACAAATGTTCCACGATCACAATCGCCCAGTGGCATGCAGTTTTTCAATATGGCGAACCCACGACTCATACCCCCAACGTCCGCAGCTTCAAGAACGCCAGCTATGCTGTTACAATCAGGATTAAACCTCAATAATCAAATATCGGGAGTATTACATCCACCTAACAACCAACAGAATGTCGGCATGCGATTCCCCATTGTGGCACCACAATTACAACAACCCCCACAGTCAATGTCACAGCGTATGCCGACAAACCCGACAAATGTGCTGAATTCAAACCAACCAATAGCTGGGGGATTTCTAAATCACATTCAGCCACCATGTCATAACACCCAACCTCAAAATTGGCAAATGACTCAAGGTGGAGCTAGTGGACATCCAATGGGTGGATTAAATTTAGGGATGCGTGTGGGTAATCCAGGAGGGCAGAATATGAACACCTGTCGGTAAGTAATTGGTCAAATTTATTCCAAGTGTTTAACTATCTGCTGCTGCTGGATTCAACATAGAACTTGGCACCGAAGTGCAGCAGTTCGAGTTGCCACGTTCCAACTAGCACACAACTATCACCAGGACTGTCACACGTAGAACTGTGAAATGGTTTTTCAGAGGGTTATACTTGCGGAATTCTTTGCAGTAGTAATCCGCGACTCTACAGAGACAAGTTTAGGGAGAATATAAGCTTATGTACCAATGGGTGACCCATCTAGATAGCCTTCTGAACGATTGAAATACTCAATATCTCGATGGGCCCATTTTACCTACATTTTTACGATAGCTTTCGTATAAATAGAACGATAAAGCGAGATTCCGAACCAGATGTTGAAGTACGAAATCTTGCACCTATTAGTTTATAAACAGAACCGTAAGTGGAATAGCGTGACTGCTCTTTGGTATCTTCTCTATGCAATCCTTTCTGTTGTTAACTTTCACTTATTATAGCTTCCCTACATCTGTTTCTTATCCTCGTGTGTGCGTGACAATCGCATCACAGTAATCAAACAACTTCCGACACCAGTACTTATGCCGATTTTCTCCACTGTAACAGGTGCCAGGATTTTTCCAGTATCGTTATCACTCCCCTGACTGCCACATTTTCGAACTTATCAGTGATTTTATGAGTCAAGCTTGTACTGAGATGCTTGGAATATCCCGTAAATAATGCTGTCACTAGTGGATATATCATGCAAATAGCGTACACCAAACTATTTCTGTTTTTCGCTTGAATTATTGACCTACGCTAGCCAAAACTCATATCCACTTATTCACGCATTTCTTCTCTATAGATCATGTGGAACTCCGAATCCTCCCTCAATGCCCTTTTGTCGAAACTGTCGTGCTGGTCTTCGCTAATATTCATTATCTTTCTAATATGTGGACAACGATATAACACTTGCGTAATCTCAATGTTTATTTACATTTTTCCGCCTTTTCATTTTGAATCATTACACACGAATTAAATAGGTGAAATAAAATGGATCATAAAATAGGGATTTGTGGAACATTACACAGGGAAATGAGGCTCCAGCAGTTTTATGAACTTGGAAGTTAAGCCAGTACGAGTAACACTAAGTAACATGCGTACAAAATGTAGGTGGCGTAAGTACTTCGATAGGGAAAACGGTAGTGTGTGGAAATCTGGTTTATTATTCATTGACATAATCCAACGGATTGCAACATATAGGGTGTTTGAGCCGATTTTCGCCGCCACCAGAGAGAAGTACGCAGTGCCTTTCCAGGGCGTGAACGAACCGAAAACGTGGACGGTCTAGGTCCGTATATTATTCTGGCGAAATAGTGTTCTTCATTCGTTGCTAAGTGTCGAGCCATCTGATCATAGACTATCGTACGAAAACCGCAGTTACAACGCAAATACCCCCTACAAAACAGACCTGGGGGAGGGTGTTTATCCTTGCATCGTTTTACTTGTATGACTGAAGCGCCATATGAGCTATAAGAAGAAAGGTTAGTCACATTTGTTGCATGCTTCGTGTTAGGAATTGCGTTGTCGATGTACGTACGCCAAGATTTCGTTTCGTAAGAATCAGCAGCCTGATGTATTGGCGGTGCGTAATGAACTTTACCCCAGTGCCAGTTAACTGCGACACTACAAGAAGTTGTGTAAGTGCAAGTAGCGCAATGCAGAGTTAGACTAAAATGTTTGTGTAGAGGTTGACGAATATGCTCTCCACATTCCATACACTTTAGGCGGACGCGTGGTACGTTGACAAGTAATTGATTGCAATAAGAAAGCGAAAGTTGGTTATTGGGTGAATGCGTTAACAATTCAGTGTTTGCTGTTTCGTTGTTGGGTCTTATTAATGGTTGTTCAGAGTGATGTAAGTATTCGTGCCACTTAAGATCACTTTGGTGTGTGAAATCTAGACGACAGGACTCACATCGATACGTAGGTTTCTCCCAGTGCTGCTGAACATGCATATAGAATTTTTGTGCATCAAATGTGTGCAGTCCTGAACGAACGTTTTCGCTAACTGGTAGTTCAAAATGCTTGAGGCAATAGGGACAAAAAATATGGTTGGTCCGATTGTGGTGATCCCGAAAGTGCGCAACTAATTCACAATAGTACGACGATCTAAACCCGTAGCATATACTGCAGACATATGGTGAGTCCATATACACATGTCTTTCGTACAGATGTGCAGCAAATTTGATAATACATGTAAAGTAGTTCTCACATATAGGACACACAAAGCAGCCATCCATAAGTGCAAAAGGTTCGAGAAGTTCTACATGACGATGTATCCTGTTATGAAACCCCACGGTCATCTCGACTGGTGCACACAGACATTCTGCACAGAATTCGAAAGACATCAGAGAACCAAGGGCAAGTTCATTCACCAACAAGTGTGACAGAATATGCTTGAAAAACTGGACATTGTCCAAGTGATTCCCACACACTGGACAGTTCACAAATCCAAATAGTGAGATGAAACCTGTTGCAGGCTGGAGTTCTTCGGAAGCGCAATAATACTGCCACCAGGGTATCTTAAGTTGCGCACTGATTGGTAGAATTGTCATCACTGGAAAGGAAAAAAGTCAGAACAACAGAAACACATTACAGTGAGAACGGTTTTGATAGGTAATCACTCCAGGAAAAGTACACTAAAATGTGGGATAGAAATATTGTAGGCACCTATACATAGGTTAACAGAAATCAGACTGTATGTCTTTGCAGGGAGACATATTTACCTAACTGGTGTCACACTCGCTCATTTAAATTAAGCGTTAAAATAGGTAGCTGCACCACCAAATATGCCTGTTAGGCGGTATTCTTTAAACTACCCTGCTGTTATAATGAGATCAGACTGCTGAAGAGGTGTAATGTAAAGACAAGGCTTGAATAGAGAGAGTATGGTTTTGTATCAGCTTATTTATTTGATGTAACATTGAGGGATGGATTCATATTGAATAAAGTTTTCAGCTTCAAATGGCTATCACTACAGGTACTGAAGCTATTGACGCCGATTACATGTACAAAAATAAGTTTACGTCAGATGTTCATAACGTATTGCGTGTGCTGTAGGTTCCAGAACATCGAGCAATACGACAAAGCCTGACAAATACTTTGTTCAATAGGCTACAATTAGATATTTCTTACCCGAGATAAATATACTGCACTTAAGGAAAAATTTCCCTTCCCAGGTTTGGTCGAATTTATTAACATGTGTAACAAAAAAAGATCTACTGCATAAGATTTTATTTTGATAAATCACAGTGTTGTACAGTAATATTCACTGATGACATTTCGAGCACAAATTATTGCCCATAATCATATCGAGTCACTCACACAACTTGTTTGCTTCATTTATATATATAAAATGAGTAAAAATTGATTAGACATTTGAATAAAATCAATATGAGATAAAGTACATCCAGAAATAATATTAGTGTTATCAATCAAATACAATCAGATGGGAAATAAGATGTTTTTTACAGTAAAAATAAGTAACTTGTTATAATGTGAACTGAATCTCACTACTCCTGATCTGCTAGTTTGACCCATGTAGTTGACCTAATTAACAGTCATTGCAAGGTATTTTGCAAATTATATTATTTTGATCCTACGAAGATAAGTAATTTAGAAAAAATACTCAGCAACAGCACTGCATGCATTAACACACAATACGGAGGGACAGGGTCGAAATTCTAGAATGTAATATAGGTAGGGGAAGAGAGAGGTTGATTACTGAATCCTTGTTCATCGAGTCTACACCCAACACCTGTAACAGTAATGACTCAACGCAAATGCCAGAGATATGGAAGATATTATTATCAGTAGAATCGAAAAATAATCAGTAACGTTAAAATGTATTCAGTTCACATTTATAACAAGTTACTTATTTTTACTGTAAAAAACATCTTATTTCCCATCTGATTGATAACACTAATATTATTTCTGGATGTACTTTATCTCATTGATTTTATTCAAATGTCTATTCAATTTTTATTCATATTATATATATAAATGAAGCAAACAAGTTGTGTGAGTGACTTGATATGATTATGGGCAATAATTTGTGCTCGAAATGTCATCAGTGAATATTACTGTACAACACTGTGATTTATCAATATAAAGTCTTATACTTATATCAAATATCTACTGGATTGAATGACAATACGTTAATTTCATAACCAAAGGACGCTATCAATTACTACCTACCATCAAAGTGTGAATTGTTTAAACCTTGATGAATTTCTAAGGCGGAGGCTGTACTGCTGACAGATTGAAATGTAACATCACTACTTCATATGACTAGGCAGAATGTGTACGAGCACAATATCCATATTGTAACATAAGCTTCACGGGACGGGCATACCAAAAGTCAGATGAACTTCGTCTTATTTCAGAGAAAGTGGATGCGCAGCCTGCTAGATACAAGATTGAGAATAGGAACATATATATAGGCTCAGACACTAATGCAAGGGTCCTTCAAGATCAAGTTAGAAGTCTGCAAAAAAGATACAGGTCTATCACAGTTCAAGTTCAGCACTCAGACATTGAAGGGCAGAGCTACAGACGACACTATTGCAATCATAAGAAAGTCGGAGGCATTAGGCAACATCACCAAGAAAACCAGTGTGGGTGAACACTAGAACTTTCTGAAAGCAACATAGAAAGGAGTCAGTATAAACATCTTAGACAAGAAGAGGCAAGGAATGGAATTTTTACGGACACCTGGGAGTGTATATATAGGAGAGTATGGTAAATGTAGAGACGAACGACAGAAGCTGAGCACAATATACAACAATGAAAAAAGGAGTTAAGGAAATTATTCTGAAAAACAAAAGACTTCCGCGATGCACTAGCAACCTGAGCAAAACAGGCTGCAAGTAAGAGAAACCTAACAACAATATCAAATAGACAGGTTACTATGTAAAACAAGCTCAATGCACAGGAAGCCAATGAAAGATGATGAACGAAATCCAATTACCAACGAGAAGAAACACCGGGCTAATTACCCCGAAGGAGTCTTGCACTGACCACTAATGAATACACCCTCTTTTAGGCTGGAAAGTTACAAAATGCTAGAAGGGGTAGCAGGACCAGACGGGATGCGTGGATGCATTGAAAACCGATTTGGGGAATTCGATAGATACGCTCACGCCGCTAATGAAAGAAGTAAGGGTACCTGCCGATTGTCTAACTGCAACATAAGAGCGAAGTAAACGTGAGGTGGTATTATTCCCCTAACCAGTTCAGCTAGAATAATAAACTCCATCTTGGAGAGACGAAGATGCACTGGATGAGAACTTCGTCCAAAACAGATCGAATCCAGGAAATGCAAATCATAAGCGGATCAAAGTACAACGCCACGCACCAACATCATCAAGCAGAGCATTGGAAGACAGTCAGTTCTCTATGTCGACTTTGATAAGGCTTTTGACAGCGTCGAAACTGAAGTAATTTTGAAACTGATTCAACAATACGCAGTCCATAGCCGTAAGCTCTCTTAGACCTTATTCAACAACTATATAATGATACCAAATTTCAAGTCGTTTATAACGAGAAGCTCAACGAAGCTTTTTCAGTACAGACTGGTGTAAGACAAGACTGCATATAGCCGCCACTGATTTTTTCTGATTCTAGTGAACTGGATCATCCGGTAGACTATGTGAGTGAGGAGACAGGTATACGATGGAATAGCTATGATATGTGGACTTGTAGTCTAATGTCCCAAACACCAATCAAAATCAATCTATGGCATCTAAGCATTGGAAATAAATTCCGGATTTTCAATACTAATATCAGCTCTGTATGGTTTTCGGACTTGGGACGAAAAGTATTT